ATAGGTCAGCTGGATTGCATTTCAGTGTGCTCCAACGACAATTTCAGACATCTACGAAAGTTGGTGGTGGGCTCACTACCTGTTTTCCAAATGCTCTCCCTGATACTCAGCCTCTTGCTGTCGGTGACTCGGGTGAGCTGGAGCAATCTGTGACTATTGTCAGATGCAGCTGCTGCTCCAATCTCACTCTCGCAGTCTCATCACCAGGCCTTCCAGTTCGTATGCAAATGCTGTCTGGTCTGTCGCGTAAGAGCTGTACACACACCACAATACTCACTGCCTTCAACAATACACTGATGAGCGTTGGGAAGTTGTAAGGACCTCACAAAGACCTAGTGTGGATTAGCAGAACGACCTTCAAAGTCACACACAGCTATACTCGCCATGGAGTATTCATGGAGCATTTAATTGCACTTCACAATAACCTATAATTTCTGGAAGGTTGACAACTAACCCCGAATCTAGCTCGATTTGGTACTCATTCACAATACTGAGTGGAGCCAGTTGGCTCACGTTTACCCGTTTCGGACGACACTTTTTATGACCGTCAAAATGAAAAATGAGTTTAGTACATACTAATTAATGCATGATCAGAATCTAAACAAGTGCTGCAGAAGGAGCAGCAGTTCTGAATACACCCATGTCATCAATTGCTGATCGCAATATGATCTATTTGAGCCGAGGGTAGAGTGGAAGAGGGAGGAACACTAGGTAGTACAACGGTGATGGTTGCGTTAGAAGTTGCTACTGGCTACAAACGGGTTGTAGTCTGCGAAAAACTTCTGAAAATTGTCTGCATTGTCTGACTTTCAACCAATCAATTCTCACTAACCACTTACTATGACCATTCCTGGCCCTTCACAACCGACCAATGCACTTTAGTCTTTAGCTAACGCTACGATATATGACGACCACATCTGGTTTAGGTTACCCAATTGGTGGTCAAATTCATTCTTAACCACATCCGAGCTGCAGTGAGTCGGCGAACAGGCGATGTTGATGAAGAGATTTCTTTTTGCTTGACGGTTACTTTTACGCTCCAATTGGATCTTTTAGCCTAGTGTTAAACAGACGACTGTGAATGGTGATATAGTCAACTAGTGCAAATATGTTCCTGGCACTCAGTGCCAGAAATCCTGTCTGCTGATGTCACTGTTTTCGGCAAAATGCACTGTAAACAAACTTTACTAGCTGATAAGTAGTGAAGTTATTTGCAGCACTTCACTGGGATTTAACATGCGAGTCTCTTGAATGTAGAACAAACGGGTGGTAAAGGATGATGAAAGTAGAGGAAGTGTATGAGATGAGGAATTTGAAAATGAAGATAAATGGGAATATCCAAGCTTTAGAAGACATCAAAGAGTGAATACACCCGCACCATTGTTACCGACTGTCAATCACTGATTTTTATTGTCTCCGGAACCTCAGCCATGTAGTCTGCACCTCCCTACAAGACTCAGCTTAAGCGGTACGCACGGTCTTAGAATAGCTGTATCAGATGCTGCATTGAAGGACAGTTATGGGAACTAACTGTTCATCCATCCAAATCAACATAGGACTAGGCATTAATGCGTAACAGTCCGAGTTGCCACACCTCATATCACTACATCAAGTGAAAAGGCAGTGAAGTGAAAGATGAAGAAAAGAAAATTCAGTCAAAGGGAATATAAAGTACTCAAAGAGAGATGAAGAATGAGAAAATGGTGAGATTCCGTATAGCGTCGTTAAGATGAGGATAATGTGTGTATACATCTGCGCCACTCACATCGGTTCTGAGACATATCACCCAGAGTCAGTTTTCAACCACTAGTTTCTCTTGTCCCGCAGACCCCAACCGACTAGTCTGCATCGCCCTACACGGCCTAAACCAACAGTTAAAGACTTCAGTACATTGGTGTCATGTTTTGGTCTACCTACCTCGGGCCTTTTCCCAGCCTGAACCTACTTCGGTCAACATTGTGTGAAGAGGCAATCGGCAACTAGGCATACGTAACACGTGCCCCAACCATCTCAATCGACGAAGGTTCATAACCTTGTCTACTGATTTACCTCTACTCCCTAAAACTCTACACCTGACTTCTGCGTTATTCACGTGGTGACACCAAGGAATACGGCCTATACTACGAAGGCAACGGTGGTCAAACACTTGAAGCCTTCTAATGTCTTCCACCTTCAATGGCCATGTTTCACAGCCATACAGTAGAACAGACCGGACTGCTGTGCAGTACACGCAACCCTTAATAGACAATCGGATATCACGGCGGCGCCACAGGTGGCGTAAGTTGGCGAAAGCCAAACGAGACTTTTGTATTCGTGCAGAGATTTCATCAGCCACTGACCCACCAGGGTAGGTCTGATCCTACTTTCCGGGTAAGTGGAGTAGTCGACAAACTCATCCACTATACTCTCTATTGTTAGCCAGGGCACCGTTGAAGACCAATTCTAGGGCAACTATTTGCATTTGGGTGGTGGAAACGCAACTCAAACATCCTCAAATTGCCACTCAGTATTGAGAAGACTCTGCATCTTGTCAGTGTCTTCACCTAACAGGACCATATCGTCTGCGCATTCTAGGTCCAACGAAACTTCTCCTGCGATTAGGTCAACCTCTGTGTAGTCACGTGACGACAGGAAGACCTGCATAACAACATCTGTGATAAAATTGAATAAGAATGGAGATAGTGGGCACCCTTGACGGACACCAGTCGATGAGCCTGCAGAGATGCGTTCATTTGCATCCATTAGTTCAGAAGAAGCTGCTGATATCCACTGGCTCTTTTTTTTTAAACACTAATTCGGAGTCAGCTATAGTCTATAGCGCTGATTTTACAGCAGATTGGAGATGGTGCCAAGCTTCTTCTGAGCATACTTGTAGTAGATCACCGGGACTAAGAAAGTGCCACCTAAGTGCCTTCCTGCCTCACTCAGTCTACCCACCTGTGCGTTGAAGTCACCTGCAACAACTATCACGTCCGAACGTTTGGCTTTCGAGAGGAGGCTAGACAGTTTTCGGTAAAACTCGTCCTTCACTCCATCCGAACTACAGTCAGCGGGTGCGTAAGCACAGATTACAAAGAGACAACGGCGAGTCCCACTATTCCTTTACGATTTCACTGTGCCGTTCACCCAGACAGAACAGAGGCAATTATCGACCGGGATCTAGTCTAGTAGTGTTTGCCACCCTAGTGCTTAATGGTATCTTTACACCTGCAAGATCGCGAGAGCTAGCTATCGAATCTCCAGAAACTCGAAGGGTGAATTTTGCGAATTCACAGATTGGTCAGGAGAGGTTAGGTGAATAACCACACTTGGGTCCTGATGTGTCTCGCGAACACAGCACACATCAGTGGCCCGAGTTGCTAGAGTTTTTGCCAATGAAGCCTATTGACCAATTTGACGGAGGGTGCGGACACTGAAGGCCCCGATGTGTAATTTGGAGGTTGTTTAAGAAGACACAGGATGCTGTTTCGTGGACTCAGATCGTTGCCAAAGGCTGCGGAGCTAGGAGAAATTGAAGATAATGTAGTATCGTTAATTGAGAGAAGTGAAGGAAGATTGGAAGGTAATGATAGGGGAGGTTGATAGCAGTCAGAAGAAATTTGAGTGCTGACAGAGTTGTGGGGACGGTTGACACTTCCCAGCTGCCCACACCGTGGAAGGCTATTTCTTCTTAAGGTATCTGAAAGAGATTTGTGTGACCGCAGAGCCCATTGGACATCTGTTTGAGGTCTGTCACATGCAGTCTTTTGTGTATGATTATTTTGAACTTTTTGGGGATGGATGGTCGAAAAGAAACGACAAACGAACCAACACCGCCGGCCCGGCAGACCGTGGGGCATGGTGGAGTGTGTTATTTTTTGGGGCCGACCTTTGCTAACTCCCCCCCCTTCCATTTAAAAGGCAGCATTAGCATGACACTGCTAGTCATCCAAGGGAAACACCATATTGCTATCACACCCCATCCAGCTAGCAGCAGTAAGACTTCGCCCTCAGACTCCCATCACAGTGGAGTAGTTTACACCACAACAGTAACTGCTTTTCATCTAACCACTATCCAAAAGACCTTTCTGGTATGGTAGGACCTCGAGGGAACAAGCGTTCCACCAACATGGCTCGTTGGGTCATTGTGATATGCAAGCCCGACCACCACGTCAAGGTAGCAGCTATCGGTCGAGGAAAGTAACTGTCCAGAGATTCAGAGCAATGCATACAACCTACGCTTTTAGTCAGTGATACGGAGCTACGTAAAGCAAAGAGATACACTGGAAGAAAATGATAACGGAAAGACAGCATAACTCACAAGTAAGGACAACGACGATATAAGGGTGAATGGAATGATTAGGTAGGCAGTTCATTACTAAGTGAATTTCGATTTGTGCAGGACTCAACAAGCGCTTAGTAGCTTTCCTTGTTGATGATTTATAAACTGTACATAGGTTGTGGTGCTGTCCGGACATCTTGACTCAAGCAGGTATTTATCTTAAGAGACCACCCCCAAGCTTTTGACCTGACGTCTAATGCACAAAGCAGCGGAGAAACGTGAGGTACTACATTCTTAAGGTTGCCAGTGACCAAGATAGGTTCATATGCCATTATTCTATTCTGGATAGTGAGGCACATATTCACCACTGGTTTGGGCTAAAGGTTTCAATTCTCCCAGGTGTACCCTTCGTGTACACCAATGTTGTAGTGCAGAACGTTCGCCTTTACCCTCCAACTTTTGTGGAAACATTCCCCGTTACGTGAAGGCAATAAGTAGAACCTACCAGGCAAATGAGAGCATTTTGAGAGGATGACTGTCCTCGATCATGCTTGTAACTAGTTGGCCTAAGCTGTTTAGGAGATGTGTTAACGGTTGCATACAGTACAACGTGGCAAGTGTTGGTAAACATCCCACTTCCTACCTATAAACCATGTTCAAAAGCTATTTTATAAGCCAGTTAGTCTTTATATCACCTAATATTCTTGCAAAATCATTATTAATTATATATCCATCATACCTCATGAAAAACAGCTTGTCGTAAATTCAACCGAACTATTCCTGAAGGATCCTCAGCGTACCAGTCACCTTCGTGAAGCTGACTGATTAATCCTAATACGACAACTGAATCTATCCTAGATCCGGCAGCAAGTAAATATTCAATTGGCCGAAGACGATAATTAGCATTGTGAGATCCATCTAGAGCAGATGTTTGCGAAAATACCTGGTGTCGCAACATTCTCTGGTATATGACCTAGTACAGAGAAAAAGTAATGAGCGCGCATCAAGAAATTATTTAACAAATCATGATTCATAAATAATGACAGTCGTTCAATATTACTGGAAAAGATAAATGGACACCAACGTAGTACAGGTTATATACATCAATATGATAAAATTATGAGTAATATACTTTGCCTGGAACGTCTTTCAGTACGTAAAACTATACATTACATCTGATAAACTAATTTAATATGGAATTGCCAGGATTCTATTTTTAAATTCATCCGGTGTGATGTTTTGTATTGATTACACTTTTTCTTACATGCAGAAAAGAAACGTTTAGTACAAAATGTAAAAACACGCACCCCCCCCCCCCTCCATGCCACAGCACTAAACACTCCTGTTTCTTCCATCCAGTAGTAGACAGTGAATGGTAATAGAAACCACTGAGACAAAATTCGTAACACGTCTGCAAACTATCTAAGTCGATATCTCAAAAGGAAGTCACTCACATTTACCGATATGGCGCTTTTCGCGGATGCCTACATTCATTCAGAAACGAAGTATTTCGAACAGCATGGTGATTAAACTTCCTTAACTCAGAAAGAGCAGGTTTTACATGCCCGTAGCAGAAATTCTGGGAATGAAACGTCGTAAATCCAACTTTTCACACCTGAGTTCCAAGTTACGGTAGCAACAAAGATGACTCATTATCACAAAGCACGATGAATTTCAGTGTGCTGTTAGAAATCTCATCTGTCACACCACCAACAGAAACACAACTGTCCACATACACGAACGTTTTGACTTTTCCCAACGGTTCCACCACCAGAAATGAATGGGAGCGCAGGCTTCCATAACTTCGTAAAAGGTCGCTGTATTTTGTTAGTCCAAAACATATTACATGCTCATGGGCACTGATGACTAAGTGATTAGGAGCGATACGGGTAGCCTGCATTTTGGCGTACAATAAGAAAACATTTCCAATGTACCCAAAACTGAAGTTTCACCTTGTAGCAGACCTTCAATAACATTACCAACACACACTCCGCAAAGCTGTTCGTAGTTAAACTGAAGAGGAGAAAGGGTGAAAGCAGGTTATTCTACCCAAATCTACCGCTAGTTTGAAACAGTAGGGAGTGGTTTATGTCGTTCAACTACTTGAAAGGCTTCTTATAGGCCCATGAGGATGCTGGTAAGCTTTTTAGCGACAAACTCTCTAACAGACAGTTTAAGAGCATAACTTTACACAACAAATTGAGGGTAACTCTAATATCAAAGGATGTGATGGCGGTTGGTCTGCAACATAGATGTCGGTAAGTTATTGGTAAAGAGTGAACACCGGATTGTTCTTCAAGCGCTTCGTCACGTTTCCCAATTATTTGAAGATTGGTGAACACCACATTGTTTGCTTGATATGACGCCAAGCTTCTTGTTGTCAGTGAATCGAATGAGGCAGAAAAGCCCCCGACTACTGTCACATACGTCTGCTGCTTTTGTCTCACTTGCATCTGACCATCAAATCTTGTGGTCCTAGCATGAGCACCGTATGATCCTTTTCGTGAAAAACATACGCAAACCGTAGTACTAGTTATTCCCCACAGTAGGAAAAATTCGTTACTCAGGATAATGATTATGATTATTCAGTTTTTTCTGAGTTTTGAAATTTTGTTGTGGATGTTTCAGTATCAGGCTTGGTGAAATCCTCAGCACCAACTTTATTATGATGAAAGAATCAGAACTACATGAAACATGTCTTAAAGTTGTAGAGTAACTTTAATACAGCTATGGACATATCTAAAAGGTGATCCCGTAAATAATACTATAGCACTGAGTGATTCGTTCAATATATCAACTATGATGGAGTCTCACAATCCTTTCCTCGATTTCGTAATAACAGAGTTGCACATTTCGAAGGAGTCCCGGACAGTTATCAAGTGCAATCGGATTCTTAGTGGTTCTCTAGATGGTGTATTCCGTGATGACAATTACTACAGACCGATCAGCTGATCTATTTTAAATACTACTTCTCATTATTCTGGTAAATAAACTGCTTTTTTATGCGTCATGTTTTTCATTTATTTAGCTGCAATTATTATTAGGTTGGTATCAACTTTTAAACAAAATATCTGGTGCAGAAAAACGGTAACACACTCTGCGCCATATCTTGTATCGCAAAAACATTTAAATAGTCAAATGCGAAAATCTGTGGTGTGACAATGAACCCTTATCTTTGTGGGCTTTTGAAATAATAAACTTTGAAAATAGGCATTTCACGGGTTGGAGTCGGTGAGATCAGTTAAGACCACGCAATATACTAGAAGCATTGGCTCACTGCATTAGCAAACCACCTAACATTTCTCATTAGAACAAGTATGGTTGTCTTGGAAATACTGCCAATATAAAACTACTGAAAATGAAGTTCACTTGAGATTTTCTGCTCGAAATCAAACAGAATAACAAGAAGATACGTCATCGAGTGCTCACATAACTTGTTCAATTTGTAATGTACAATTCAGTATATAAAATTATACTAAATTTTAAAGAAAACTGATTGACAATTTTAGTGAAGTTTGCTCATTTTACTAGAAAACTAATTATTTCACTAGCAACGAGTTCAAAAACTGCATTTACTTACTGCAAAATTTTTAGTCAGAACACCAGACTGTTCACTTGGTATCTGTCACCATCATTCACTTAACCCTTCACATCCACACAATCCTCACTTCCTCCCCACTAAGTTATATAAAATTAGTTGCCATAGCAAGTATGTAGATAAACAGTGCAACTTATGCTGTGTGAAATTAGTCAGGATATTTTTTTAATTATAGGTAACAACTTGTTGTTGTAACCTAACCTCGTTAACTAGTTCAATAGTTAATAGTTACTAACCGGTCCTAAACCCCGATAAACAGAGAAGGTTGAACACAAAACTAGCAACCCTACTCCGAAACACCAATCCAATCGCTAAACAAACCTCATAACACAAAGAAAATATTAAAAATAAAAACAAAATTATTCATACCTGGAATCGGAGGGAGGAAATGATACCGGTTGGTGAAACCGTTTGAGGAGCCAGTCGGTCGATGTGTCTTCTCCCCCTCGATGAAACCGAAAGTAAACATGGGAACATGGAATGTCTGCACCATGTGTGAACTTACAAAGGCTGCCCAGATTACGAAAGAGATGAGAAGATATGGCATAGAAGTGCCTGGAATCTGCGAAAGCAGGTGGAATGGAAGTCGACTCTTCAAAACTGTCAACTGGAGAGAAGAGTCAATTATCTATTCCCATATCGTCACCCAGACGACAACCATGAGCACACTGAGTTTTCGAATGGCTATCATGATGTCCCCAAGAACATCGAAGGATATCATACAGTGGGAATCAGTCTCCTCATGCAAGATCAGGATCATGACAGCAAGATGGATTCAACTCGAGGGGAAGGAAAGTCACAATGATACAATGCTACACTGTGCACCTACAAATAATCGGGCAGATGAAGAGAAGAAGGAGGAAGGAATTCTACACACAACTACAATCAGTACTGGACAAGACGCAACCCCAGATGGTGACACCAAAATTATAATGGTTTGGTTGACATGAATGCCAAACTGGGAGGGGACAACACAGGAAGAGAACTCATCACGGGTCGACAAGCACTCGGTGAAATAAATGATGAAGGAGAATGGAGAACTGTTTACAGACTTCTGTGCATTCAACGATTTGGTGATTGTAGGCAGTATGTACAAACACTTTTAAGGATATTCACAAGGCAGCGAGCAACATGGATTTGATTTCACCAGACACCAGCACACACTAGAAATCATATCGACTTCATGTCAATTTGAAGAAAGTGTAGACGCAGTCAGCCTACTGGACACAAGATGAGATGAAGAAGGGGAGCAGATGTAGGTTCACACCACTCACACCAGTATCTAGTGGAAGGAACCTACAGTGAAAATCAAGTTGAAAGCCTTCACAGAGGTTGGTGATAGAGGGCCACAGTTGAAGTTGAAGACCTAGAAGAGAAAGTGAACTGAAGGACGAAAGTACAAATAACATCTTCACGTCAGTTAGTCATGAGGACAAAATTGGAGATATTGAGGAACATCCGTGAAGGACCGGACGTGGAGGAACACTGAAAGTGTTTGAAAGAGATGTGGGAGGAAACCTGCATAACCGTATTAGGGAGGAAGAAGAAGCAAGACAAGACAAATAATGGATCTCCATGGCCACATGGAAGCTGATAGAGCAGGGAGAGGAAGATGGTGAAGTAGAAAATGAACCAGTGTGGTGCAGTGAAGTGCAGGGATGAAGAACGAAAAAAGGAACTGAACACAACCTGTAAAACATTACACTGACACAGAAGTGAAGAGGAGTGCACGGATAGACAAAATACACTTCTACGACACACTTCTTAGTGAAGCAGAACAGGCTGCAGGTAGGAGGGACAGAGACCTATCAACACTATTTCAAATAACCAGGTTACTATCTGGGAGGGAAGAGATCAACACAGCACAGATGAAACTAATGAAAGATAGTGAGGGAAAGCCAGTTAGCAAAGAGAAGAAACAAGGGGAACGATGGGCTGACCACTTCGAAAAACTCTTGAATCGACCACCACCACCACCGCCTGCAACTCGGCGAGAAATACCACCAACAACCTCAGAACTACCAGTGAACACAGACCCTTCGACAGAAGAAGTCCTGAAAGCCATAAAGCTTCTGAAATCCGGGAAAGTACCAGGACCAGATGGAATTCCGCCAGAAGCACTGAAAACAGACTCAGAGACAACAGCCGATACACTCACACCACTACTGTAGAAGGTTTCGAAGGAAGGAAAGGTACCTGGCGATTGATTGGAAAAAGTACTACCTCGTCAAACTCCCAAAGAAGGGAGACCTAAGAACTAGCGCGGAATCATGCTCCACTCCTATCCACCCAAAGCAAGCAAAATATTAAGTCGCGTCACCCTGGAGAGACTAAAGATGCTCTCGATTCGAAATTACGACCGGAACTGGCTGGCT